TCAAAGCGGTTGAGCTTTTGGCAGAGACGGCCAGCCACGACGACAACTATGATGATGATGATATTGATGATGATGATGATATTGATGATGATGATGATGATGAAACCGCTTCGTATGTATTTTCCGGAAATGTTTTAAAGCCTATTATAGGTGATCACATAATTTCTGTAAAATGTGCGGCTCACACGCTTCAGCTCGCTGTCAAAGACTTTTTGGAAGTTTTGGAAGAGTATAGCCCGGGAATAGTAAGCCGTTCTCGCCGAGTTGTTAAGATCCTAAGAACACCATTGATGCGGTGGGTGGTTTCATAAACTTGCTCACCTTAATAGCTTTTTGAGATGATTTCGTTTAAAATTTTCAGGTTAAAGGTTAGAGACCAAAATCTTGTGAAGCCTCAACTTGAAACTTGTTTTAACGGACTTATGTTATAATTTGTCCGACTAAAATATGGAAACAATTTGCCTTTTAAAGCTAAATAACAATATTTTATAAAATAAATTAACTGCTTGAATGAAAAGACTTTGTTTTTGAATGTTTTGAAATACAATCATTTGTTCTTTTTTTTTTGAAAATTGGGAGTAAACAAGTTTTAATTTCGATCCGCTTGAATTGCAAATTGAAGATGTCAATGCTGATACTGAAGTTGTCATATGTCCTATGTGTTTTAAATGATTTTAAATAACCAGTATAGCACGGACTTCTCGAAAATTATTATTAAATCAATTCCTCATTATATTTAATTACATAGAAAACATTCAAAGAAATACTCCACGGATCTTCATTAAGAATTGGCATTTAATATGTTGCTATCCCGGGCATCAAACGGCAGCTAGTTTTGACCTCGTTTGCTGAGTCAGAACCCGAACATCAACAAATTATATATTTTTGAAATCTAGGAGTCAAGACGAATCGATTGGTACCAAATTTACTTTATTTAGACCTAAGGTTTGTTTGCTATTTAGCTAAGCCTTTTATTTTTGCCGGAAAAAATAAAAGTCACATTTTAACCGTTATTGTTTGACTGAAAAAATAAAAGTCAAATTATAACAGTAATTTTTTTTTCTCATAAAATAAAAGTCACAAAATAACTTTTTTCTCGAAACTTTTATTATAAAAGTCATAACCGGTTGGGTCCCTGGTAATATCTTTTTCTTCATATGGACTTAATGATGCCAAAAGGCCAAATTAACTTCCTCTGCATATATCCACCAAACAAGTTTTACCTACTACGTCTGGGGCATATGTAAATATTGGTGTTGTGAAAACGCAATGTTGGGATGATGCGCTAGCGGAAACTAAACAGTACTTCCCTAAATGCGAGGAAGATTCATTGCCTCATTCTTCTCATTTTTATTTGGCGCTGTGCCATCCAAGTCATTCTTCACTTGGTCTTTCTATCGCAGTGGGGGACTCCCTCTTATACTGCTACCACCAGCGGGTTCCGAGTTGAATACTTACAGAGCTGGAACATCGGAGTCCATTCGAACGGCAGGGTCAAGCCAGCGGAGCCGCTGTATTTTAATTCGTTGCACTATTTCTACGTCGTTGTAAAGCTCATACAGCTCATAGCTCCATCGTCTGCGGTACTCGCCGTCGCCAAAGCGTAAAGGCCCGTAAATCTTCCGCAACATCTTTTTTCGAATACTCCCAGAGCCGCCTTATCGGATGTTGTCATTGTCCATGCTTCTGCGCCATATACCAGTACAGGAATGATGAGAGAGGACTTTACTTCTGAATTGGCTACTCAGTCCAAAGTAGTACATGTTGGCAAGAGTGATTCTGCCTTGAATTTCGATCCTGATATTATTATCGGTGTTATTTCTGGTTCCCAAGTAAACGACATTCTCCACTTTATCGGAATTATAACTGTCAACAGTGACGTGGGTGCCAATGGGCAAAAGCGCTGACTGATTGTTTGATGACCGGATATACTTTTTCTTGTACTCGTTGACCACCAGATCCAGTCGCTTTGCTTCCTTATCTAACTTGGAAAAGGCAGAACAAATTTCGCGGTTCTTGTTAGCGATGATGTCAATGTCATCGCATTACGCCAGCAATTGTACGCTCTTGTAAAAAATTGTTCCTCAGCGGTTCAGTTATGCAGCTCTTATTATCTTCTCCAACATCAGATTAAAGAACTTACATGAAAGGGAGTCGCCCTGTCTGAAACCCCATCTAGGTAGTAAATGGCTCGGAGAGGTCTTTCCCAATTCTGACGGAGCTGGTGATATCGCTCAAGCTCAACGACATTTTACACAGCCGTATTAGTTTCAAGAAGATGCCAAATTCAGACATAGCGGCGTATAGGTCACTACTTTCAGTGCTGCTAAAGCGGCTTTGAAGTCCAAAAATAGATGGTGAGTGTTGACTCTTTGCTCTGGGGGCTTTTCCAAGATTTGGCGTATTGTGAATACCTGTTCTATGGTGGATTTGCCAAGTCTAAAGCCACACTGATAGGCCGAATCAGTTCGTTGACGGTGCGCTCGCCTTGCACACCATACGCTCAATAAGACCTTGTAACCTATGCTTATAAGGCTCAGCGGTAGTTGGCGCGTACGGCAAGGTTGCCTTTCTTATGGATTGGTATAAGAGCTGATGAATGCACCTTATCAGCCCCTCGCCGCCGTACTTGAATAGCTCAGCTGGCAGATCATCAGGTCCAGCGGCTTTGTTGTTTTAAAGACGTTATAGCATGGCGTAGAACACCCACTCCGTCATCATCGACTGGGGGCTTGGGTTCGTGGGGTGGAAAAGTGTTCAAATGTATTTATTTTTATTTATTGATTGATGTACGTTCCTGAAGTCGGTCAGGTCCCCTTGGTTGTTCTTACGGGAGTTCGCCCTGGTTTTAAAACCCTCCCTACGTCGCCTAACTGTATGGTAAAAATGTTGGGCGTTTTTCTTGTAGGCCAGCATACCTGCCATTACCTTATTGCAAAACAAAAATCTCTGCGTCAGATAAAAGATGGAATCTTGCATTCCATGCCAAATGTTTTGATGATTATCACAAAACAACATTAAAATTTCATATTTTTTGTAAATAAAAATATAGTCTAGTTTGAATTGCCTAAACAGAGTGTTTTTCAAACTTTTTTAATATATTGTCTCGCCCAAAGTAATAGTAGTGGATTCTCCCAACGTTGCGTTTTCGCAACGGCCCACCCTGGGAGCCCAATGCGATTAACATTTTTAATCACTTCTCCATAAATAGCTCATGTACTACGTTTAATTAAAAAATTCCAAAATTTTTTGCGTCTGGGATGAAATTGGTTGAGTGGATTCTAATGAATTGGAAAGTATTTTCGGTTATTTACATGTGTGAACTGAGTGTGCACAAAATAAGCGAAAATTTACAACCAAAATTTGGAGGTTATGTTGAAGTTGTCAGAAGTTATAACTTTTTTACAAGACGGCGATCCTTTTCAGTTCAGGCATACTTTTCAGTTTTACTCTATCACTCTGAGCGATTTTTTTTTTTATTTTTTTACACTCTTACTAGTTTTAGTCGGAGGAATACGGCATTGAACCAATTATGTAAATAGAAATACTAATAATAAATTGGGAAGTATTGAAAAAAATGTATTCCTAAGTTATTTAATCGAAAATTCTTCATTTTATCTACATATGTTTTAGCTATCTTAAAAAAAGGAAAAAAAATTCGATACAAGTATATTTTTCGATACCTACTTAGTACTTGGTTCAAAAGTATCTATTCAAAATTACTTGATATCGAACGAAAAGTATCGAGTATGCACATTAGGGTGGCTCTTATTTGTCAAGTATAATTTTTTGTTTGTGCT